TCAAGGACTACTGTGGGGGGGACGCGAGCTGTATTTGTCTGCTTCATTGTGCTTGGAACAGTAGCAATACCGAAACGCTCAGAAACACGAGGAGAGGACTGAAAGAAGCTGTCTTAAGGTAACCTCTCAAAAACAAGAAATGGAAACTGCAGCTATTGCGACGTATGAGCTTCTGGCCAAAAAGTAACCCTTAACTCACTTCATCGACAGAATACTGTTTGATTCCTGCTTTTACGTCTTCGGCACATTCTCTGACCGCCGTCAGATCATACGAAAGTGGACGAACCTTCTCGATTGCCTTTTGCTCTGCAAAAATATCCAACTACCAGGAACAGTACGACAAGCAAAATTTGGAAAAGTTAAAGCTAGTGGAAATGAACCAGTAATAATTAATAATTAATAGGACTTATATAATCACCATTAATGTACTAAAGTAACTTAATCGACTACATATAAAGCATCAAAAAAATCCCAACGAAACTATGAAATTAAAATGGTGATAAAACTAAAAATTAAAAGGAACACGACAAATAAAACCAGCAACACCAAACTACAGCAAAAAAACTAAATAATTCTATCAATATCAAACAAATTTTTCAAAATGCTATCAATTTGTTTTCAATAAGTAATAAAGTCCTTGCACATTAATGTGAAGGTGCAGCAGTACTCTATGCAACAAACTAAAGCTAATAAGTGAAAAGCTTGAACAAGTGCAACAAAAACTACAACGGTGGGCCAATTGTAGTGTCTTACAAAATGCAGTTTTTTCCATAGAATGTCTAACGAAATGAAATGGAGCGCTAGAAAGTTAAAAATTTCAATGTACTTCATTCTATTTTCCATCAGATGTTTTTTTGAGTGATTAGTATTACCAGTCAAAAAAGTCAAATAATATAACACTCTGGCGACATTGCTTTGCAACAAGATCGAAGAATCTGCTAGAAATTGAAATAAATTTAAAAACCTAGAAGATAACAGGAATCTCATAAGAGGCACTATTTTGCAAAAAACAACCAGCTCTACAAAGAAACAGCAGCAGATGGAGAACAGCAAGCACCGCGGGAAATGTAAAGAATGTCTGAACCTGTCCAAGAGGAAAATGCAGGCAGAGCACAATAAGACGTCAAAGTAGACTGAAGTTGCGGAAGGTGCATGATGGAAAAGAACCTGGAGTTCTACTTTCAAAAAGGACTAAATCTATATACTTCCAAGTAAAAAAAAAAAAAGTTGTTTCAAACAATGCTGTTCTCCACGATATTTTTAGATGAGAAAAATAACGTTTCTTTTTATGGTGTCAGGTCTGTGCTGCTGCCAAGCATAAAGGTGCTAAAATGTCCATTGCGTACGCCCAAAAACGAATTACACCATCCTCCTTACCAAAATACTGTTACTGGCGATAAGGCTCAAGCGACTCTATTCGACTAATCTACACACAAAAAATGTCAATCCAACAGTTTCACTCTGCAGCAGAATCATTTTACCTAGACAGATGGGACACTTCAATCGGCCGACCCTGTAGATCCCACGAAAAACGGTATATTTATCAAAGTCTCTACAAAACAGTTCAGCATGCAAAGATTAAAGAACATATGAAAACTCTTTTGCTATGAGGCACTATAAATATCATGTTCTGCTTCTGAAAATCATAAAAGTTTTCACCTCCAAATCCTTGTGGCTTTGGATACTTCAACTATTAAACTCAGTAAGGATACCTAGCTGTCAAGTTCACGCAAAACTTCCAAGCGGTCAGGTAAATCGCAAAAAACTTTATTCCCCAAAAACGTCGCGTCGTCTTACCAGCTAGGGACAACCCGCCATCCTTCGGTCAATCCACTGCAACTAAAACCCCTCAGGAAGTTACTTTTTATTAGACGTTAAATGAATGACTTCAAGTTCTGTATCAAAAAGTTTTAAGCCCATAAAACTTCCGCATCAAAGTTATGTTTTCAAATTCATTAGAATCTTAATCGCCCGTGACTTCTTTACCTAAAATAATTACAGCATCGTTACCAAACCAACAATAAATTTTGCTATAAGGATGAACATAAACCAAACCTTATAACAACTTGAAGTTTATTGGTGAGAATTTCGTATTTTAAAGTCTTTTAAAGCTTATAACGTAGAAAAATATCCGTGCACCAGTCCGCTGGCCTTTTTTTGGATTTCTTAACTGTGGTGCAGTAAAACTTGCCGTCCCCTACCACGTCATAATTTGGTAAACGCTTCAGAATCTTCCATCATTTTCACCGAAAATCACTTTTAAGCAGGGTTTCACAGAGACTTTCCACCACACAACCGTTGTGGAATTTTCTGGCATTTTTTAAAGAGAAATATAGCTGGAAAAGATTTGCAGTAAACAAAAATGCTGAAACCTTCAACGGTCTTAGCATTAAGTGACGCTCACTTTGGCTTCAATGAAAAATTAAGCTTCCACGGCAACTGGAGTACACAGAAATGCGGTAGTTTACTGCACATGCTACCTAAATAGCAAGAAATTCGGACATTCCTGTTGAAAACGAATGCTAACAGCAATCAGTGTTTTCAAAACATTGGAGAACACAAGGAACTATTTCAAAGCAATGAAAGCAGGCAACAGTAAGATACATAAGCCGTCTGAAAAACCTTTCACTAAACAAGCACAAGCACTGCTGTACCCAAAATAAAAGCTTACAAAATTAGAATTCCAACTAAAAATCTTAGCAAAATTTAGAAACGTAAAGCCAAAATTGGGAAGAAAGCAGTGTGCAGTTTCCAGCTTTACTAAGGCAAAGGCTAAACTAGAAAATTAGAACCCTGTGGAAAAAAACAGCCGCCGTGTTAGTACAACAAAGAAAAAAGGAAAGTTTGCAACCCAGGAAAATAGATAACAACTAGTCAAAAGAACCAAACAAAATAGAAAAAAGTGAAAGCCTTAAAATAACTAAGAGAAATTCTGCTAGCCATCGCTTTTTATATAAGAAAAAACCGTACCCGAGAGCGCTCCTGATTCTAAAGGATATTCAGGAACATCATAAAATTCTTCGTCACTAGACGTATCTGACACAGCGCTGGGAGGCAATGTCAGACCCTTATGTTCTTCTGCTCCAAAAGAGCCATTTGTTGATTTCAAACTGTTATTCAAATTTACCGACCGTACAAATTCCAACTCCCAGTCCTTGTTCTGTAAACACTCTTCTTCCTCTTCTCTTTCATGCCTACCTTCTTTGATGTCAGAAAGGCATGGACACTTTTTTGCGTCAGAATCAGATGTTATTTCAAAAAGCTTTTCAGCTTTCTTTTCTAAAAGGTAATCGTGAGAGCAAAATGCATGCAAATTTATGTTAATAAAGCCATAATGATTACGTTTAACTTTGCCAGGAACCTTTGAAAATCAAATTTTTCAAGGTAACACTCTATCAAAAAACGCGAAAGAAGGAAAACAAAAGAAAAGGCCATTAAGTTTCTTTATCTTAAGACACCCCTAATGCCAACTTCCTCCCATAAACTTCATAACTGCAAAAACAAGGCAGTTTAAAAAACTAAAAAACTGCTAATTAGAAAAAGTATCTCAACAAAACAAAAAACCGGCATCAAACCAAAATAAAAAAGGGAAGTACGGAGAGAAGAAGCATGTAATTAATTTGATCTAATCAAATTTTAAAAAACAGCGAACTGTCAAGGAGAATTAGTTCAGTCTTTAGTATTTTCATAAAAAGGTGCGGAATGAACCTATCTTGAGTATTACTTTTCACTTATAAAAACATTTCAATTGCGGTAGATACTTGTACCGTACTAGTAAAATATGTTCTGAAAAGTGCTGGTGTTTTATAAATCTTGTAAGATTATCTTTCCAGAACCAAATCAGGCCCCCCAAAAATATCAGTTTTATGTTTTTTTTTTTAATGTTTTCTAGAGGAGAAAATAATCCAGA